CAGCTTTGAGCAAGCCTTTGTCTTCGAAACTTTTGACTCTAACCTGAACTTCTCGCACCGCGTATTCGGGAAAAGCTCCTTTCCTTTGCCTCTTTCTTCTCTTCCCTCTAGCTTCGAGATTGTTTCCCTCGAAACCCACTTTGCCAACTTGTTGGTTAACTTCCATAACGTGACAAAGCTTCTGCACCGTTCACTTCCCTTGATCAACTTTTCATCCGTTCCCTTTTCCCCTTATTACGAAACAACATTTAGATGACGAGGAATAATAAAAGTAATTGAAAAAATCCAGAGAGAAATACTCTTTGATGGAAGATAATTTGGAAAATGAATTTTATTAAGGATTCGTTGGCAAGTAGAAAGGGACACATGAAAGTTGCTAGGAAGGAGATACGATAGCCAGAGATATTTAAATCAAATTATCCAAAGCTATTTTATAATACGCGGAGAGGAAGTTTCATATCAATTGAGGAACAAAGAATATTGGATTGCAATTAAATAAGGTTATATTATACGAGATATTGTTTATAGTATGCAAAAAACATTCAGCTTTATCATTTTATTTCAAGTAATTTTAGACGCTGATAAATAGATATTCGGGGATCATTTGTTTAAAATTAATTATTGAATATTTACAATTGTTATTGCGTATGAAAATAGCAACGATGCAAGTACGTTATTTTAATAATAAAATGTTGAATACTTTAGTTTGGATAAAAATTTGAATATTTTCAAATAATTAAATATAAATATAATAAATATAAACTCCTTTCTATTTTTATGAATATCTACATTGAGTATACAAATAGGGACTACTTCGAATGTATTTTATAACACGGTTTTATATCTAAAAGCATGTCTAAAAAGAAAAAGAATTGGCTAAACATTAAAAATAGAATATGACACGTAATTATTGAATTAAAATTAATTATTGAATATTTCCAATTGTTATTGCGTATGAAAATAGCAACGATGCAAGTACGTTATTTTAATAATAAAATGTTGAATACTTTAATTTGGATAAAAATTTGAATATTTCGAAATAATTATATAAAAATATAAATATAATAAATATAAACTCCTTTCTATTTTTATGAATATCTACATTGAGTATACAAATAGGGACTACTTCGAATGTATTTTATAACACGGTTTTATATCTAAAAGCATGTCTAAAAAGAAAAAGAATTGGCTAAACATTAAAAATAGAATATGACACGTAATTATTGAATTAAAATTAATTATTGAATATTTCCAATTGTTATTGCGTATGAAAATAGCAACGATGCAAGTACGTTATTTTAATAATAAAATGTTGAATACTTTAATTTGGATAAAAATTTGAATATTTCGAAATAATTATATAAAAATATAAATATAATAAATATAAACTCCTTTCTATTTTTATGAATATCTACATTGAGTATACAAATAGGGACTACTTCGAATGTATTTTATAACACGGTTTTATATCTAAAAGCATGTCTAAAAAGAAAAAGAATTGGCTAAACATTAGAAATAGAAGAATATGATACGTAATTTAAAGAAATGGAGATGATTTTCAAATTTCCAAAAGTCCTTTTCCTATAAAATAAAATATTATTCTGATAATATGATCTCTTTCACATGATATAATTTGTGTACCTAAAACTTCACATGTCTGAAAATAACAGAAGTAACAGAAATATTCAATATGATCAAAATTATTACCTCATATTGTATATCAAATTTCATAAATATAAATTATATTGGTTTAACTTAAATATTTTTACATTTTATCAGAATATCTGTGAAAAGAAACAAACACATGTTTAAATTTATAACTTTCTTTAAGCAAAGACTTTTTGGGTTTGAAACATTCTTGAAATTTTAAATTTAGTAATACAAGCATCGTCAATCAATTATTAACTGTAACGAGATTTTCAATTCTGCATGTTTATGATAATTATTCATTATAGTATTCAAAGCTCATCGAAGTAAACCAATTAAAACGTTTTACTCTGTATCACACAATGCATAATTAAGATTCCAAATTTGATAATAAAAATATCACTAATTAATCATTAATCGCTGATATTTTTATTTTCCACAATCTCCACGTTTAATTATTCATTTTGATATTTATATATATTTTATTTAAATATATATAATATTTTAATATTTCTGTATTTAAAAAATTGTTTCGTCCGAACCTTTCTTTGAAAGGAAGATATCAAACGATGTTCATGTCCTTTTACAACAGCAAATTAATTTGTCAAGATTTGTAAAACTTTATTTAACCCTTTGCACTCGGTGATTTCTTCATTCCAGAAAAATAATAGTTCGAAGATTTTCTGCCATAAAGTCGACGATATTTTTAAATCGGTAAACAAGAAATCGTAAGCAAATTAAGACGTAGAATTATTTTACTTCGATATTCCACGCATCGTTGGATAGTTGTAAATTTAATATTAACGCCCATCTTTAGAATCTGTTTAAATAGTGACTGAGAGGCGCCTCTTGAGTGCAAAGGGTTAATATAATACAATTGTCAATTCTTGAAATACCGTTTCGACGGTATTATTACTCATCAAGGAAAACCATATTGCCGACTTTACCCGTACCCAGGTAAAACACGATGGCACCTTGACGCTTGATCATCATATACCCCAAGTACCTGAAGTATAGGGGAATAATTCAGTCCGTTTTCCCGTTTGTAATCCCTACCCTTATACCTCAAATTCGGAAACTCCTTCCAATTACAAATTACACAGCACTACCAAGGGTCTACATAAATGCTAGATCTATTAGCTCGTAGAATATAAAAACACGTGATATCAAGATAGGCAGACAGTGCACTTACTATTTCGAAGCCAAACACAATATCCTCAAGGAAGCGTCCGTCACTAATCGTTGTCAAGCAAGAATAGACATAGACATAGTGACGATATACAAGGGTGAATGTGTTTGAGGTGTCATTCTCGGTTTGTTTCTCCTTGAGTTCTCGTGTCTTCGTGCTTTTATAAATTCGAGTGTTGCTGTGATTGGTTAACGTGGCGTGTGAATGGTGGATGCATTTCTTTCTATCGGTGGCGTGTCGGTTGGAGGGTGTGTATGGAGTTCGGTGTGTTTTGGTGTAGGTGGAAGTTTAAACAAATTCGGTCAATTTGTTTTCCATTTCTGGGGAATTTTAACACGTTAAGTACCACGTCCTGGGGATTTCCGTTCAGGCCAGGTCAGTCCTCAGGGACTGGCCGCAGGCTTTAGATTCCTATTACACTTCTGGTGTTAAATTCTTCGCCATCTTTGGATCTAACGTTTAGAAATTCCTGTTATAACAATTGGTACAGTATCTCCGAGTTTTATGAACATTTCGCCCGCCACCGATGGCCCACTTGACGGCCGAGTCTGGGCCTGAACGGAATGGCAAGCAAAACGGGTTGGGCACTTAACGTGTTGATCTTTTTATTAGGGGGTAGCTCGAGTGGCATTGAGGAGGTTTAGATGTCCGCGAATTGTGGGATGTTGGTCGTAACGAAATAAATAGTTATTTCCATTCGGCTCTATTATTAGACTCGGGCCTTCGGTCTTTGAGGGTGGAAGCAGAAAATAGGTATGCGAAGTTCGGGTTTTTCTATGGAGGTGAAGGTTCAAATGAATTCGGGATAATTGTCTGTTCGTCTATTCAGGATTTTCAATCTTTTACTAAGGATTAACTCGAGTGATATTTTGAGAAGCCTAGGTATCCGTGAGTCGTGAAATGCTGGTAGTACGAGAAGCAAAACAGATTGGACACTTAATGTGTTAACTGCAGAACTACTATCACTCACGCACGACTATCCCCAACGAAATAAAATAAATGGAATCAATCCTTGGAGTCTCGCTTGACACTCGAAATCGGTACACGTTAGGATAAAAGCGAGATGGAAACCGTACCCCAGAAAGCATCTGCCGTTGATATTCTGCCAAAACGTTTTCGCCTGATCCCTGAACATATCCCTGCCCATAACATAATTCCATTCGGCTCTATTATTAGACTCGGGCCTTCGGTCTTTGAGGGTGGAAGCAGAAAATAGGTATGCGAAGTTCGGGTTTTTCTATGGAGGTGAAGGTTCAAATGAATTCGGGATAATTGTCTGTTCGTCTATTCAGGATTTTCAATCTTTTACTAAGGATTAACTCGAGTGATATTTTGAGAAGCCTAGGTATCCGTGAGTCGTGAAATGCTGGTAGTACGAGAAGCAAAACAGATTGGACACTTAATGTGTTAACTGCAGAACTACTATCACTCACGCACGACTATCCCCAACGAAATAAAATAAATGGAATCAATCCTTGGAGTCTCGCTTGACACTCGAAATCGGTACACGTTAGGATAAAAGCGAGATGGAAACCGTACCCCAGAAAGCATCTGCCGTTGATATTCTGCCAAAACGTTTTCGCCTGATCCCTGAACATATCCCTGCCCATAACATAAACGCGTGTCGTTATTCCGACACTGGTATTTGTTTACACGATTTGTCTCGCTGACGGTGAAACATTGTTGTGTTCCAGGTATGTAAGTACTCGTCGAGGCATCCACTTTTCCACTTTTGCCGGCCTTCGTCGATTTCTGCAAGGTGGAACGCGTGCATGTGACGCTTCGCGCGGGTAAGTAATTAAGGAAAGCGTGGCCAGTCGTGTGCTGCTTCGTTAAAGTTTCGTATTGTCATTAAAGTTAGGTATATCCGCAAGTCGCGGAACGCTGATAATAAACAGTTGTTCCCTTGACTCGGGCTTTCTATTTCTGGGAATGAGTGTAGAGAATGAACAAAAATAATCGATTTAATATTATCGAACAAGATCGATCCATTTGTACCACGCGATCACACGATGTGTCAGCTAAGTTCAATACTCTCCTTTCTGCTCGTACATGGTTTAACCTCATCGAAGTAACTTTACGAGGAAAAGTTGGTTCGAAATATCCTTCCCATGAAAATGTCCACCAAATTCGCGACGAAACAAAGCATCGCGTGTTCGAAAATATGATAAACGGAACACAGGTTGTTTTATCCCCTTGTAAAAGTGCATCGTATTATTCCTAAGCAACAGCTAACCAAAATCGGAAACTCTCGCTATCCCGTACAGATTAGCAGTCAATAACATCGTTCGTTACATTATATTCCATTTTCGTCACAGCCGTACGCAGCTACGTGGTGCCCTGTCTGCGACAAACGTGTAAGCAGCAAAGGAAAAGACACAAACGGACTCCTTGCGCATATTCGTAAATCTCATCCCAAACATTCTAGCTATTATTTGTCACAGGTATGAAATATCCTTCCTTCGAGATGGGTCAATTTTATTCAGTTTCGTTTGATTTATAGCGATTTAAAATGTAAACTCTGAATATCCAGAAATTTTATCAAAATGTTGATAACATATTTTTGAACGTAATGAATATTATACAATGCATTAATATAATATAAATATTTATATTACAAATATGTGATATAATTACAGTAATTATTATACAGTTTTGGAATAATTAGTTGTAGTATTAGTAATATAATGGTATAGATAAATTTGCAAAGCGTGATTGATAAATTCATATTTGTGCCTGTGATTATGAAAATGGTCTAAGTCACTTATATTTGCTTCTGAAATATTAATCCCTTACACTATTTTCACGAGTCTGACTCGTGATGAAAATTTTAGGCCAAATTTGAATATCACGAGTCAGGCTCGTTGCTTAATTTCATGTCAAACGTGGATATCACGAATCTGATTCGTGATCGACATTTCGGGCCAAACCTGAATATCACGAGTCTGACTCGTTATCGACATTTCATTAAGTTTAAATTGTAATTAATTTATCACAATCACACGCTCACACCTCTTTTCACTATTAAAACTCTATTGTCTATGTCAATATTTAAATATTATTATATAAATATATTAATTTCTTAACTGTTATAAAATGTACAAGAAATTTAAATACGTCATAAATTATAAAATTAATTGCAATAAAGCTACAAACTCGATCTGACGATTCAATTCTTCATTTTTTTGTAGAAAATAAATATATTTTATCGTAATACAAATGAATGCAACACGAAATAAATAATAAAATCGTTCCTCTTAAGTCGATGACTTAGACCACTTTCATAATTATAGGCACATTTGCAGGTGATACTATTACAAAGAAAATTCAATTTTTATTTTGCACAATATTTTTTAAATTTTATCTTTCACTTATGATGCTTTGTTTACATTCTCGAACCATAATTTGTAATAGATATGATGTATAATATATGAGATTCGTGTCACAAATGAAGATATTTTAAATTCGAAAGACTTCAAAATTTGCAATTCAGGAAGCATATACTAATACACTATCCGAGAATACATCAGGAATATACCTAGAGTACATCATCACATAAGAATATATGAGAGTAACACGAAGGATAAATATGAGATACTTTCAAACATTCAAAGATTTATGTCAATCCAAATACCAATTTCTAAATATTGGAAAAATAAAGTTAAAATATTCTCTAAACTAATCAACTATTAACCTAAACACCCTAACATTTATTTCTATAGCAAATAAAAATGTACAATTCTATTTAAAAATATTGGTTTTGAAATCTTCGAAATATCTCCACTTCCAGAGAATATTTCATCCACTTAGAATATTTCATACATCATTTAACACCATTTAACCCTTCGATATTACGATATTTTGCATAATATGAATTTTCAGGATGAATCAAAGTTAAATCAAACTTATCTATATTTTTCAAATATATCTAATTTGTGAAAAGAATTAACAATATTTCTACCTAGCATAGTGCAATAGATTTCAAGGTACTGTTCTAGACAAGATTTTTTGGTTCGAGAAGAGTAGAAATTGAAAGATTCTCTACTAAAAAACTGACGATACTTCCTTGAGCAGTAAATAAAAAATTGTATAATAATAGAATTATAGAATTATTTGATTTCGATACCTCGCACACTGTTACATTACATTAAATTTGATATATTAATTAATATCGATCTCCAAATTTTATGAAATGGTGACTGAAGATCACCTCTCGAGTGCAAAGGGTTAATCATCCCCCAAGAAATTTTCTTTGACCTTCTACCTTTTTAAAATTATGCATGTGACCTGTTGTGCGAAATACTCTATACATGTAGAGTTAAAAGAGAAGACACGAAATGGACTCAGAATCCATCAGTAAACATGCAACACACAATGAATCTAATTGCAACAATTATAACTTAAAAATTGTTATTTAATATAACTTAAAAATTCTATTCTTATTTAATACCTCAGAAAATGAAGCAATCAGTCCCGTAGCTCTCTCATCGCCAAACTGTCATCATTATTCCTATTTCCTTTATCCTTTACGTAATAAAGCTTCATAATTGAGTACTTTGTTATTATTAAGTCAGAGTCAGTTGAAATTCGTAGGGCTGTGGCAAGCTACGGGGTGGAAAATCGCACAAAGTCACACCATAGAACAGAAAACCGCACAAAGCCTTGCGACTCGTTCAAAAACGAGCAAAAGTTTGATTCATGTTTGCGGTTGTCCCACAGTGTGCAAGGTTGAAAGATTGTTATAGTATCTGTCTAATCTAAGCCGTTCATCCAACACGAACTAATCGCGTTATCTTCCAAACGGTTAAACTAAACAGAACTAACTTTACGCATTACTATGAGTTTAGTTTGGATTTGACTTCATCTTTGATAAGTTTATTATAAGAATAATATAACATGGTATAAGACTTTTGACACGATAAGTATCATGAGAGTCATTGGTGACCAGCACATGGATTATCAGTGGCGTCGTGGTAATTAGCGTTACTAGCATTAGTAATAGCATTTGATCTAAATGAATGGTAAAATTTGAATTCATTTAAGCTGAAAGTATTTAATCTAAGTGAAGCACAAAATTCTTGATATTGTCATTGCTACTATAATGATATTATAAAGTATTATAAATTGTTTTAATATTAAAACATTATTAAATTTTATAATATTTTTATAATAGTATTAGAAAATAATACAATATTATAAAAATAACTGAGAAATAAATAGTTTTGCCTATAAACGCATGGAGTATAGTGAAGTATAGTTGTATAATTGTAGTACAGTGAAAGTTTGCAATCTAGTCCACTTTCCTTTATCCATTTTTTTTCATATCTGTCATATTATATTATGTTTCATTATTATATATTATCGTGCTTTTATTTCTATTTCTGTGTTATTAGTTCCTCACACATATAAAATCGAATACTAATTATCATACGCGAGTATTTGTATTTTCAAACTAATATTTCTCTAACGAATATTCTCCAACGAAACTAATATTTCTAAACGAAGCTCCAAATGGAAAAAAAGAAAAGACAAAAATTATTCTCTATTTTAACTTGAATTACAGTGCATACAGAATAATTATCTAACCAGTTGTACCACAATCTTGATGACACTCTGTATTAAATTTAAGTTTCCATTTGTAAAATGAACTCTTTGTTCATTCCATTCATAGAAACTAATACACTACACAGAATATTTAATAGTTTCATTTGCAACTACGTATGTATATACAGGGTGTCCCAAAAAAATGTATACACACTTTGCGTGATTATAAAAACAGTTTTTATTTTCTTCTTACGTTTATGCAGAAGACTTATTTTTTTATTACGTTTTTCAAAGTCTAGTCTAAAATCAGCAATTATTTTAAATGGGTTATACCTAAAAAAGAAAAAATAAATTGGAAAGAATAAGGTATTAAAGTGTGTATACATTTTTTCGAGACACCCTGTATGTATTAACTGCGCATATTACTATGTGTTGTGATAAAACAGTCGACGTAGTAAGATAAAATATCTGTAATACAGGAAGAAAAGGAGACAAAGGCAACCCCTGTGACAACTGATCCAAATTGTACCTATAACACGGATTGCAATACTAGAAAAACCGAGCCGAAGAAAATCTATGCCACTCGTGGTACGTTCTCCTTTAAATACCAGTTATTTGTATTAAAGGAACAAATAATAAATCGCTCATCATTTTGAGTATAGTAGACACATGGAAATCACACAACGAGAAGAAGACCTGTCCACGATGTCGGAAAGAAGCGGTACCAACGCTTCATGCTAGGGGTGACAAGTTGACGACCTCGCATGTTGGAGCCCTCTGTCTTCTAGGGTAAGTAAAGTCCTGCGAGTGTGTAGATTCAGAGAAATTTTTGATATATTTTTTTTCTCGGTATTACATCTCCCTTGGTAATATGAATATCTGTGATTTAATTAAGAAGAGTTAACCCTTTGCCCTCGAGAGGCGATCCTCAGTCGCCATTTAATCAGATTCTAAAGATGGATGTTAATTAATATATCAAATTTACAATTATCCCACGATGCGTGGGATATCGAAGCAAAATAATTTTACGTCTTAATTTGCATACGATTTCTTATTTACCGTTTTAAAAATATCGTCCACTTTGTGGCAGAAAAAAGTCTTCGAATTACAATTTTTCTGTAAAGGGTTAATTTTTATGAACAATGAATCAATGTTATAATAATTAATACTTATACATATTTCTAGTTGAAATTAGTAATTATTAAGTTTGTGGAAAGCAACTGAGAATTAATTTAAATGGTTATGGTACAAATACATTTTATTTGTTATTAAATTTTCCTCGAACGTGATGAATGAGATTATTTTATTTTTCAGGAATTATTTTACTTCTGAAATGTTTTATTAAATTAATAAACTGTTTGCATGGTTTGCTACAAGTCTCTCTGTTTTGAAAAGTTATTTATTTATTTAAAAATAAAAATAGGTTTGTTATAGAACAATATAATATCGTAGAATCTTACACTTTAACTTAATTATATTTTTAAATATATTTTTGAATGTTACCATTCATGTTTCAATAAATTCAATATAATTTATACAGCTTAGAAACATATAAAATTAACGGTTTTAATATTATTTTACAAAGTTGCCTCATACTAGACAAATTGTTGAAATAAATTGTCACTGTAATTACTAAATTTCATAATATTTTAATCAACTATTGAACTTCGAATTCTAATTAACTCTCAACAAATTAATGTTTATTTGAAAAATTTAGTATCTGAATTTATAAACTATTAAAATTTGAATTAACAATTGCTTCATTAAGAACAGACACTCCGGTCCATTTTAATGCGAAATGACAATTTCAAGTCTTTAAATGAAATATGAGTATTTAAAATTAGAGATTTCATTAAAACAATGAATTTATGATAAATACAAAATTGTTGGCCATGAAGAACCTATAATTACGTTATCGTTACTTTCATTTCTTTCTTCCCTTTTTTCTCTCATATACATACAAACAGATTTCAGCGATCATAAATTATTCAAATTTTGAAATACATTTTAATTCGAAACTTGATTCCGTTACTATGGTTAACGAGTAACAAATTTTTTTCTTGATATGCACGAACGGTGATGATTTGGAATTTAGGGCTGACAGATTTTGGCTGGTGCGCAGGTAACCAACAATTAATTTCACGCTCCCAGTCTGCTCGTTCAGCTCTCCGTGTCAGGATAAAAGATTAATGAGTGACCTCGAAACTTGTACTACGGCTTCTTCAATTTATTCGCAAATTCATCATGTATACCCTACGGCGTGGAGAACTTCACGGAAATGATATACAATTTCAGAAATATTAGTGGATTTTAATAAAAATATGGAATTAAAGCATATATTTGCTTTAAATATTTTGACGATAATGATTGCGTGTCGAGCTAAACATAATTTGACATATTATTGCCTAATTTTGCAAGTTGTGCAGGAACGAACATTTATGGTTGTCAATTTTTGACAAAAGGACTGCCTTCGTATAAATTTCCATGAAACTATCATAACTTGAATTATTAATATAGTACTTGGACGATTAGACGTATTAAAAGGACCACATTAAAAACTTATTTGTGTTTTCAAGTTAACTTTTTTATCATTTTAAGCAATACAATATTTTACAAAGAGTTAACCCTTTGCACTCGAGAGGTGAGCTTCAGTCACCATTTCATAAAATTTGGAAGATCGAAATTAATTAATATAACAAATTTAATGTAATGTAACAGTTTTACTGCTGAAAAAAGTATCGTCAGTTTTTTTAGTAGAGAATCTTCAAATTTCTACTCTTCTCTAGCGAAAAAATCGTCGAGTGCAAAGGGTTAAAAGTAAGATTCACATCGTCATGGAATTGGTATGACAGAGAAAGGTGTACTCCACGAATTATAGTAAAGAAAATTTGCAAGGTCGATAGAAAAGAATTGAAGATGGTAGAGTACAATATTTTCTTCCTCTCTTGAAAAATTAATAAAATTGGCAAGTGTCGTGTTTGGTACGTTTCCTTCAATCGTTACTGTTGGGAATTTCGTGGAGGAAATAGCCAAACGCACAGGGAAATAACTGTATTCAGATGTATAGCAATCTTATTTGTAAGAGGTTTATTATACGATATATAATTAAAACGTAAGAGTTCTTTTCTTTCTTTTTTAATTTGGATGCCGCTATGGGTAACAATGTATAAATAGCCGTTTTGGTTTCTAACTGAAGCCTGTGGAGCTCTGAGAGACGGCAGGCCCTTTTAAGCCCTCAAAACCGACCCCATGGAGTCCAAAGGTCGGTAATGCCCTGCAACCTTCGACAGACATGTCGTCATCGTTGCATGGGCGTAGCTGACTTCCAACAGTTACTACGAAATTTACCACCAAAATTTTTATCAAGATATTCGTTATGTCATTTTATAAATATTAGTAAACAATAATTTAGTTTTTGACGTACGAGTTATCACGAAATAAAACACTTTCTGTCCATTTAAAATGATAAGCCATCAACACATTGCAGACAAATGAGATATTTCGTATTTCGTATTGCGCCATTGGCGACCATTGACGAGATACCTTGTATCTTCTATGTTACAGTCAAAAACAGATATCAAACTTACTATGATTAGTTATATGTCTGATCTACAATATATTAACACCAATTTCAAAGCATTGCGCGATTCTGTTAATAATTTTATTAAAAAATTAATTGTGGGATTAAAAGTGTCCCACCTTTTAGATGCACCGTAATGCATGGTGGGAGATTTTCAGTCCTGGCATAGTCACGGTGAAAGACAACATGCCTACTTGCCAATTCCGGAAGTTTTCTGAAGATCGCTACCTTGAGTCTGTCTAACAGAGAACAATACTTCTTAGAGTTAATGGTTTGGTTATGTGAAAGCAACTCGTAACAGATGACAGCATTTCAGTTGCACCAGATCAACAGAAGAAGCTTCTTTAGATAAAGCATGACTCTGACGACAGGAAGGAAATCCTTATCCTGACTAGCCCAGGATCGTTCATGTCTCGCGTAGTCACACAGAATCCAATTTTCGTCCCCACTGACTTATTTAGAAACACATCGCTTATGTTAAAGGACTAAATTGCTAATAGAAACTTGGTCTAACATGTGGCATTCTGTCACTTGACTCTTTGGGGCACGCTGGGATTAAAAGTGTCCCACCTTTTTGATGCACCGTAATGCATGATGGGGCATTTTTAGTCCCACCTAGAAATATTGCAATAGCTGCATGCGCATAGGTTTATATTTCGTTATATTTACGTAAAGCAGTTGGTAATACCTTCGACAAATGTTATAAATGTATTCGCTCGTGTCGGCAACGTTCAACATGCCAGTACAGGTTCATCAATTGTTGCAAGCGGAAGGTTCATTGCGACAATCTCCTTTTCCTGGTTTTATGCTTTTACATTATGTGATTCCTTTATTAGTAAAAATATACCAATTTTGTTTCATTTAAAACGCAACAAAATTTCTATACGTCATGGGTCTATTTTATTATCTGAAATCCTATGCCGCAAAGAGTTAACGACCATACGCGCGTTAACACGGTTAATTTTGTGTAAAATTTCCAATACCTCGTATATTAACACGCTCCTACGTTCTTCACCGAGTTCACACAAACCGTGTATACTTGAATTTTCTAAATTATCAACATCGTAATTTTAATTAGGATACATTATTGAGTATCATCTTTTAAATCGATGATAAAAAAGATTCCGTAATTTTCTACCAATTTTTGTAAAATAATCCGGTCCTTAAAGTCGTTTATAGTCAATTAATGTTTATATTATTATATTATTTTTATTACACTGTATCATATCTTATATCTCATACGTTATATCTTTACAAACACGCATTATCGTTTGTTTTCGTATTAATCTTCATATTCAGCAAAAATATGGCAACTTTCTTTAAATATATAATATATATATTATTTTGCAACAACGCGACAAAATTTTAATGTATTTCTTCCCAAATGTTCATTAACGTAACATTTAGTCTCGTAAATCCTATTCAACGAATATTGTGTTAAATATAAACGATTCCAACGATAAACTGCACTCGTAAATTAATATATTGAGCGATTGGTGCAGAGATGACATCGTTAATGTTTTCGACACTCAGGACTAAATTTTCCACAAACCATTGTCAACAATATTCATAATTGGAATCCAAATTTATACATTCCAAATTCACATAGAACGTCGCTGATTAATTCCTGAGCTCATCGCTTTCTAAATATTTAAATTACTATTGAAATGGAAGTTGGAACACTCGTACTTTTAGACTAGATTGCTACCATGGGCGTGCTATACCGTGCGAACCAACTATGGTCTGCATTTCTCGGAAAATGATTCATAAAGCAAATGTGGGGTTAATTAGGAATATCTCGACGATCCACTTTCAATAACACAATCATGAAATATAGGATACATATATGTGCCAATGATTATAACTATGACTTAAGTCCTATATGTATTATTATTTGTGCGTGCATAAATTAGAAAATTAATTACGATACAACTACAAGCTCAATTTGACGATTCTATTATTATATATAAAAATCTTTGTATATACTATAAGAATTTCTAAAACATATATGTAATTAAATATCCAATTTGGAATTCTGATCCCATTTCCCATAAATTGTCAGATTAAGAAATGAAAAGAGACTGTATAGCTACAATTATCATTCTCTTCGTTATTTCTGCAAATCAATCATAGTTATTCCTATCGTTTTGTCATATGATCGAAAAATTGTATTATATTTTTAGGTATGTTACTGAAGTTTAGTAATTAATTTATATGTAATTATATATAGAGTTACAGTCTCTGGAGAGTACTATGGCTTCTAAACCTCCACAGACTAGGGACTGGATCTTACTTAATTTCAACTCTAATTAACTCTTAAAGACTGCTACTAATAACGAACAACTCTTACTAGACTCGCTCTTAAAAGACTCTTAACGAACTGTTAACGAACTGACAACGCACTAAACAACTCTTCACGAACTAAGGGACAACTAAACTCTATCTTCCAGAACGGGCCCTTTTACGTCCGTCTGGAAGGCAAGGGCCTCCCCCGAAGGAGCAGAAAACTCCCTCCACGCTAAGCTCAGAGGTAGAAGAGACTCCATTTGGGTTAGGCTCTCCGTGGATGTGTCACCCTCGGTTTACGACGGGGAAAGCCGGGGTTGCACGAGGCCACTTCACGTGGCCTGGCCCCGACCTCCTATGTATGATCCATCTGATAGCCAGACCCCAACGGATCCTCTAAACCTGACGAAGTGTTCCCTGCAGGAACACTTCGACCATCGTATCCTAATACTGTCTAAAAATAACATATGTGTGAGATAAACAAGTTTGAAAATTGCTGATTTAAATCGATTTTTTTTTTTTTCTAGTCTTTTTAGTCAGTTCATCTCAGAAAACTGTGTATATTATATGATTTTTGGCTACAATGATTCTATGTAGACAGAGATCTGGGCGTCTAACAAATAATAACTGTCTTATTGTAACAAAACAGGTTTTATTTAATACACTAAGTTTCTCACACGTCTCAACTTAAATCTCTTCTGACACTCTTCTCAATTCTACACTCTATTCTGACCGCCTCGCGTCCTTGCATCCTTACTTAAAACCAAATCTATCTCTTTTCGTATACATGCTTTCTTTCTTAACCGTTTCGTCCCAAGCAGCGCGATCGCGCTGTTCAAATTTCATGTCGGGAAGACCCAGCACATATCGAGCGTTCTCGACAACTGACAGTGCATCACCGACTGTCCAAGTCGAAGTGCCACTTAGCATTTATCGCCATAATATAAAGGAAGCGCTATCGCGCCGCTTGGGATATCTTGACATAAAATAGAAGTGCTATCGCGCTGCTTGGGTCATCTCGTACCCACTTAGAGGCAGCGCGATCGCGCCGCTTGGGATTACTGGACAGTGCTTTTTCAAAACCCTCTGGGACTCGAACGGTTAATCATTGGACAGATATTCCGACAAAAGGATTTGGCGCTATCGTTTGTTCTTTCGCATTGGGCCCTATGCCGCCGTTGGCTATCCCTCGCTTTTCGAGAAGTCGCCTAAACGTCTGAATGCACTCCGCACACTCATTCCTCTCGCTATTACTCTTAATACATTGTTAGTGTCCTTCACAGCTTGCCATTCTACAATATTATTCATCTCGTTTGAAACTGCGTAAGAAAGAATTGCTAGATCTTTAAATCTTTATTCCAGATATTTAAGGTTTAGTAAGGCATTTAAATCTGTATTCAAATCCAAATATTCTTATTTCTTTCTTTGCATAATTAGATTTAATACACCAGGTTTCGTAATATATTTTATAAAATTTGCAACCTAGAAGCTAAATACTTTCATTCGTCACAGATGTTGGCCACTATGCTTCGTACCACTGATAATGAAACGCGCGAGGAAGGTCCGTATGATCTGCCCCCTGTGTGGCTACATGTATGGCAGCTTCCAATACAAGAACACTGGATTAACCCCGTGTAAGACCGACTCCGAGGATTCGCAAGCACGGCTTTCATCTCCACCGAGAAGTTTTCGTTTACGTGCAACGAGAAATGAACATAAGAACTTACGATAAAATGGTGCAAAAATATCGTGATAAAAAATTTGTGTATGGAAATATATCTCGACATTGTAATCGCATTAAGTAATTTTTCTTCTAATAAAATAGCTTAACATAGTTCGAAAATAACACGTGTATTCCTTACTGATTATCTCTGAAACACAATCCAACCTCGATGATTCGAACCTCGAGAAAAAGCTTAGAAGCATCGAGTTACCTGTGTATCTCCTTATTAATTCACATAATCGAGAGTCTACTGTACTTACGAACGAACAGTTCGAAATAAATTGAAATTCATTAATTTTATTAAATTCGTACTACAGTCGAGTCTCCTATAACACGGTGATTTTATAACACGATTTCCATATAACGCGGAGCGAAATTTGGAACAGTTCTCCTATAACACGGTCTCCTTATAACGCGTTTTTCGTACACGAAAATTTCAACAACTCAAATGCTTTGAGAAATTTATCAATGATGATACTTATTCGATGAGTTAAATTAATAAAACAATCTAATTATGGTATTCTCAATGTATGAACCACATGATAAGAATGTCTAAAATCTGATCAGACTGAAGCAGTTACATAAGAGTGTTTGAGAATAAAACATTTCTTTCAGAAATAAATATAAATAAGAAAAAATATGGAATAACATTGATGGATAAGAGAACTTATGATAGAAAAGATTTTAATAAGGGCTTTAATAGGCGTCCAAAAGATAATTATATAAAACAAGGTAATAAATAATTTAATTTTAACACTTTGACTGCCACACACTTTCTATATGGGATGCTCAGGGGGCCACGATAAAATTTCCATTAATCTTAGGATATAATGATGACTAATCAAACAATATGGCAAAGAAAAAAAAAAAAGGAAAATGATGCAAATTATTAATGTTTTCTATTCAAAGTTCTCTATTTATTTACGTTGTTCAAATATTCAAAAACTGGTTAGAATAAAACAAATATACATTTAAAAAATTAGCATCATCGGATACTGGTGACCACCATAGCCCCATTGAGGAGACAAGCGCCGGTCACTGATGACCACCCATGGCAGTCAACGTGTTAACATGTTAGAATTCTATTTTAAACTAGGATACGTCACTAATATGTATCAAATTAAATTTCATTGTTGGAAACAATTTTATTAGTTTATAATTTTATTATACGAACTATGTATTATATTCGATAAACCTAAATTCAAATACGTAAAAATCTACGTATTCATTGCCATTTCTGTTATAAAATTTTATTTATTAACCGTATCAATCGCAACTTGATACTTCGAGAATGCAATTTTTATATAGGTCTGATTTATGTGCAATTTATTTATTTCTGAGATTCCATACAACGCGGTACGAATTCGTTCAATTTGTATTATTTCTGAGTTTCTTATAGCGCGGTTCCTAAATAACGTGGTATAAATTAATTAGATTTGTGTCATTACTATGTTTATCATAACGCGGTTTACATAGAACGCATTTCCTGGCTTCAATTAATTCTGATTTTCTTATAACACGGTTCCCATATAACGCGGTACGAATTAATCGCGTTATAGGATTCAAATTATCGAACTAAAGACACTCATAATACGTACATGTTACCTCTGTACAAAAGTCAGACGTCATAATATAGCGGATTAAGGTCCTTCAGTCTCTTAGTAACGAGGAAATCTGTTACAGAGCAAAATGGCGACAGGTCAGGTAGCAGCTTTTCAAATGCGTTTCGAGTCTCGGATTAATCATCAAAGCAAACGTATTGACGCGATAATTGCGTCGTTTATGGTATACTCAGGCTGCATGCAATAACTGGCAAATCATTAATATTCAATAACCGATTCTATTCCATATTGAGTTACAAGTGATTTCCGATCGCGTGATTGATCGAGATCCGACGTTTTCTGTCCAAGTAGACATTTGCTTTCGCGATGGTTTAGCGAATTCGATTATTAATCGAATTTTATTCTTCTAATTTGAAATCTCAATGCGTTAATTCGGTTCTACAATTCGATTTAAAGCGGATTTGGATTATCCGGATAATTAAATCCGACTTGATTTAGATTCTCCCCATGACCGCTTTCTATGCTTTAATTTGAATTCTTCGCTTGATTGAAATCTACGGTTTAATTTGAATTCTCGTGATGACTGCGTTCTACGGGTCGATTTTCCCGTGATGATTGAGTTCTACGACTTCGTTTGAAATCTCGCGATGATTGAGTTTTATGGATCGAATTGAATTCCTGTAATGGCTAAATCGTAGGGTTTCATTTGGAATCTTATAATAAGTTTTGCGATTTGATTCGGATTCTTGGGAAGATTGAATTTTATAATTTCATCTGAAATCTTGATTTCTGAATTTCGTGATTTTATTACCTGACATTTCCGCGTGTTTAAAATTGTATAATTTATATCACGCGATGACTGAATTTGACAATTTAATTTCAAATATTAAATCAAATGCGACGATTTAATTTTAATTTTCATGATGGCTGAATTCTGAAGATTTGGACTCTGAAAGCTAAGTTTCAGACTTCATTTGGATTTTCGTAATAACTGAGTTTTACGATTTCATTTGAAATCTCATTTTGATTTTATTAACTGACATTTCCTCGTGTTTAAAATTGTATAATTTATATCACGCGATGACTAAATTTGACAATTTAATTTCAAATATTAAATCAAATGCGACGATTTAATTTTAATTTTCATGATGGCTGAATTCTGAAGATTTGGACTCTGAAAGCTAAGTTTCAGACTTCATTTGGATTTTTGTAATATCTAAATTTTACGATTTCTATTTGAAATCTCATTTTGATTCCTTATTATGGAATTCTACGGGTAGATTTGGATATCGAATTCCATTAAATTCGAAATTTTATTTCTTAGTATACCCAGTCTTTCATCAATCTTGATATATTGCTATTGATTAACCTACATTTCCACGAAGATGAAGTGCTCTTTCTGATTGGTGTATCTCACAAGAGTGTACCTTTTGGTAATTGAGTGAAAAATTAAGTGTACCGTTTTCCCTTCTAAATCATGCCTGGGTTTTACCGGTGAACAATAAATATAACGCAGAGCGGACAGCGATTGCAGGTCACGAATGGGACAGCTGTTCGAGGGCCTGATGAGATTTTATGGCAGGTCCTGTCTTACTGCTGCTAAAACTGCATCTCGAGCGATGGGTATAAGCCGTTTACGAACATACGATTTTACTTTCTCTAAATCAACTAAACATTCGGAGTACTACCAACAAAATTGTTGTAGATTCAAAGGTTCGAAAATGAACACAGTGCTTCACGTATGTTCCGTCGTGGAACAAAGAAGACCCGTTACGGTCTTCCAACAGCCAGGTCTTAGGGTCAAACAATTCGGCATCGGAATTTTCCGCTCCATGCCTTCAGCATGTTTGACTGCTTTACCTTTTTTCTTTGACTTCTCGTGTCGCGGAACACGAGAATCCTGGAAATCCCTAATTTAACGAAATTAGGCGACGGCTCTTAAGACTTGGCTGACAAAGGCCTGAGGGCTCCACGTGGTCCGCACACGTTGGAAGCCTCAGGCCCTCGCTAGGGGTAATAAACGACCGATGGGGTCACCAGCGCGTGGGTGGACCCCAGATACCTTGACCAGCGCGCGGGTGGACCCCAGGTACCCCACCTTGGAGGAAAGGGTTTCCTCCACTATCGTTGATTTTTGGGGGAACCTTCCCTTTCTCCAAGGTCACGGATTCGCGAACCAAGGGAACGCCCTTGGTCAAAAACAGCCAATCATATTTGGCGAGCTCCCGATTTTTCCTAAGGCCGATCTTAGGAAGATCGAGGAGCTCACTTCCGTACGAGCCCTGAGAGACACGGGTTCTCTTAACACACTTCGATACGAAATTTGAGAGACGTCGGGTCTCTCTAAAACACTCCGTCTAACCGATTCAAATCAATAACACGCCACGGTTCTTTTCGAAACGTCGACCGTCGTAGATACGACTCTTTTCTGCTCGTGCAACTTAAACAGTTGCCCAATATTAATTTGGCGGGCAGCACGTATCGTAGTCGCGAGACGGCCTTACAACCCGTCGGAAATACGAGAATTTCCATCGCGACGCGACGCGACAACGTATTCAGTAAGACAGTAATTTTAATTAACCGTTTGAGTGCCAAGCGGCGCGATCGCGCTTCTTCTATTTTGTGTCCAAAAGTGCCAGCGCTCTGAGCTGCGAAGCTGACAATCAGCGCGCTCGGTTGGTGAACGCGGAATATGGGAAGCGCTATCGCGCCGCTCGGCATTTTTGGACACGGAATATGACAAGCGCTATCGCGCCGCTTGGCAAATATCGATTGGGAAACAATAATGACCCGTGGCACTCAAACGGTTAAGAATAAGGAAAACAGGGGATATAATACAGTTTATGGACATACCATTTTAGTCCAATGGCTGAAAAAGATTCGACCTTTCACGTTCGTATGCAGCGAAGAATGACACGGAACTGACTGCTAAGAGTCAAGAAAGAATAAACGCTTGGCCCGTCACAGCTCTCGACTGTTTTATATCGATTCCAAAACATCGGAGTCGCTTTAACCACTTGCTCTACCAATAAACTCACGGTTGCGATGCCGTGAACTACAGTATAACACGCGGTAAGGTGTCATATTGACGCCGCGAGATACTGTATCGATTGTGAAATATTTCCAAGATATCGATAACACTATGCGACGCCGTGCACTCTGGAACTGTAGCTCGAGAAATGAACGATCTGGCTGTTAGCCGACGTGCAGCCCACGTCATTTTTATTTCTGCGACAAATGCCTATCGACGTGGTATACACGTCGCTGCCGATTTTGGAACGAAAGCATCTCGACGTGCGTGGCACGTCTTTCCACCGCAAGTGCTTAATACTATTATTGTCTTGTCACTTTCACGCTTTTCATAACAAATTGACTCTCCTCATAACATATTGGCTCCGAACTATAACAATTGCACTGTACCACGCATTCTAGATCTTCCACTCGTGCTTCCAAAAATATACATATATACATTCGTGCCATCATTCGATCACACACACTCGCATTCACGCTAATAAAACCAAATCCACATAACCATGCTTCCTATCGCGTGATTGTTATAAACATTTCCCGAGATAAATTCCAAACGAAATTCCTTTGACTGCCACGCGGAAATCACATGTTTCCCCCAGGACGCCATGGCAGTGCACCGCTGGATGCAAGATTTGTTCTATTCTTTTGATCGGTGTTCTAATAAAAATTTTTAATCGTTCAGTGAGGCACTTTTTATTTCAAAGTATCTTCTAATTAGCGGCTATATTCGAAATGCATTAACTGTCAATTTTCATTTAATGAAGTTCAATATAGTTTAACACGTTAAGTGCTATACAGTTCTCTAGGGACCGGCGCTAGATTTTTCGTTCGGGTTTGGTCGGTCCTCAAAGACCGAACGCAGAATTTAGGTTTCTATTACAGGACCGCGCGATCGGTCTTTGCGCAATGACTATGAGACTAAATATTTTGCTCAGGCGACATCGAGTTTTGTTCAGCCAAGGTTTAAGAAAAAGAATACAATATTTTTAAAAAACTTGATGTAATATATTAAAACAGGATAAATACAGGTGTCTCCACTTCGACCGCCGCCAGTGGCCCACTTGACGACCGAGTCTGGGCCTGAACGGAACGGCAAGCAAGACGGGTTGGGCACTTAACGTGCTAAGTAGTTCAAGCACTCCGGTCACCAATGACCACCGTGGCGTTTCAGGAGAAACTGTGGCCGGTCATAAATAACTAACATGGCAGTCAAAGTGTTAAGACGAAGATGACAATGTATAACGTTGTCCTTCCACAAGTATCAAAACTTACATTTGCTTCGCAAGCTTTGAAAACATATTTATGTATCAAAGCTTAAATTTGCTTCGCAAGCTTAAACAACATACTTATATTATTCGTGCCAATAAAAGTACTATGTATTTCGAAGATACCTTTATTATATGTCGTTTGATAACGAGATACAAATTAATGTAATTAGTTATATTATTTGCGATATTTAATTAATGTATTTAGGATGATAATTACCGTTGAATCAGGATTTTCGTTAAATCCTGTTTTTATCGGAAACAGGTTGTTACACGATGTTCACTCGTAGAGTTTTGTTTTCAATCTGCACAGAAGTGTTAATTAATGCGCGGAAAAGAATGTAAAAGTATTTACAGTGCGATGGAGGATCACTCGTGTATTTGTTATACTGTAAGCACCTCACGACATCAAAATAATTTCGGAATTTTTTAACATTAATTCTAAACGACCGTTTCCAAATTTTTTAATAAAAAGAAAGTAGATTTTGACTGATTTCAATGGTTTCTGTATTTCAGGGACGAGATTTAGAACAGTTTTTCCTTGACAAATAACAGGATTTTCTATACTAATTTCCTGAATATAATAGACCTTCCATAACTTATATTAACCAAGCTAAGATTTAGAGTCTTTAATGCTAGTAAAAGATACATTAAACGAGACATGTTCACATAATATAAATATCATTTATAAACAAAAAAAGAAGCAACAAACAATCTGATAAGAAAAGTGGGAAAACAGGGTTAAGACAAAATTAGTTTTCTGAATGAAGCTGACATGTTGGGGTGAACCCTTCATCCTTCAAGTTTGATGAATTGTCGATGAATCTGTCATTTATCCATTTTTATTGGCTTCTAAATATACCGTGAAAATTAATATTTGGCACAATTTTTTAATAATAGCATCCTTTTCTGGTGACATGACCTTCTTCTTCGGTAAAGTTAGAGTCATCTCGTCGATGAACTCTTCAGTTTCTTAAAAAAAGTAACAATTCTGTACAGATCAAAGGCACTATTTCTATATTTCATTAACTCTTATCAGAAAAAAGATCCTTTTTATTAGACAGAAGCACAATTTCTACGTCCCACAATCCTTCATATCTCCGCATAATTTTCATACCATACATAATACATAGGAACAAAGTTTCGAATTTTATAAAAAAAAAGTAAAACAAAATAGTAATTTATTTCGTAATTTATTATGGGAACTCCTAAAAAAATAATTTAGTTCTTAATTTACGCTATCTTGATCGTCTTTGTCGTCTTGAAATTTTATACTTATTTACATATATATGTATATATACTTCTTTTCATACTCAGTAATCAATGGGACTTTCCCATTCAATAAATACAGCAGCAACAGCAATAGCAACCAGCAACCATCAACAGCTACCAGCAATAACTACAATCAACAGTAACAGAAACAGCAACCAGCTGCGGCAACAACTATTAGCAACAGCAACCAGCAACTGTTAAATCAGTTTCAACATCAACTTCAATAATAATCGTCACCAACATCAACTTCAACTGGAACATCTACTTAAACACCAGCTTCAACTTGAACATCAACTTCAACTTGAACATCAACTTCAACTGGAACATCTACTTGAACACCAGCTTCAACGTGAACATCAACTCCAACACGAACATCTACTTGAACATCATGTTTAACTTAAACTGAAACTTTAACCTCATCAACATCAACTTTAACCTCATCAACATTAACATCCACTTTAGCCTCATCAACATCAAAATAAACTTTAACCTCATCAACATCAACATCAACTTTATCCTCATCAACATCAACATCAACTTTATCCTCATCAACAGCAACATCAACATCAACATCGACTTTAACTTCATCGACTTCAACTTTAACAACATCAACGTCGACTTTAACTTCATGAACATCAACTTTAACCGCATCAACATCAACACCAACATCATCAACTTGAACATCAACATCAACTTCAACACCAGCATCACGTCATAACTTCAACTTGAACATCAGCTTTAACTTGAACATCAAATTCAACTTAAACTTAAACTTAAACTTCAAGCTCATCGACAATAACATCGACATCAACTTGAACTTCGACTTCAACTTTCTCGCAAGTCCTCGAATCTCCTTCAAATGGGAATCTATCTACTGGCGAAGGTAAGAATAATGGTCGCTACACACCGATCCAAATTTCCGAATATGGTCGGAAATGGTTTATCGTATTGCGTTGATCTATTCTGCAATCTCCGATGTTTTCAAAACAAGATTTTCCTGTATAATGGTCTTAACAATATCGCCATCGATCTGAAATAGTCTCCTATAACGTGGCTCGTCACTAAGGTCGAAATCACCAGCTTCTCCAACTTTTCCAACCATCCTCTTCATGTTCTGTCTGAAACCATATCTTCGCTACAAACATTCACAAAATTTCTACACGCTTCTGTTGCATTTCTACCTTGTTGAAATTCGTGAAGAATGAAATGCCTTTATGGAATGAACATTATTAACAGACATATTTGCGCGAACGAGCTTCACTGGAAGCTGGCAAGTTGAGACTGGCATTTCAGTAAATAAAGAGAAGTAAATATGCAGAAATATGTAGAAATAGTGGTAATAACAGGTAGCCACGGATGTTTCAAACGAACACATTCGTGTTGAAATTTGAAGTGACATTACCGGACAGAACTTTCGAGTAGATCTGATACGTAGATTATATTTTGTACAAGTTCGAAAGTTTTTAGAGTAAAAAGAAACTGTCAACGAGGGTTTGCCTCTGATGTATATTGCAGTCGTGATTGGCATGACGGTGCTTTTATTACCTGTTTCTAAAGAGTCACAGTCGAAACGTACTTGAATGCTTTTCAATCGAACGACCATTGTCTGATGAGACACGAAGGTATACTAAATAAGAAGAATATAAAAAATTACTATCTTTATTAATTTATAAATAAAAATACCGATTTTTTAAATCCATTGCAATGATTTTTCTTCTTAACACATTGCGTGTGGGTGACGAGATATTTCGTCTTTAGCAAGCCGGACATTGTAGCAGGGCGACGAGATATCTCGTTTTCAGGTTTCTTCGACTCAATCGATGGTTTAACCCATTTGCATCATGGCTCTACTTAAGGTGCCGTGTTCGGGCATCAGCAACGTTCAACTGACGATTAACCCGTATCACCGTGCGCGTATCAGCACCTACTCATAATGGCAGTTAAAAGGATTTTCACGACAAAAGTAAAACTTGTTAAGAATATAATGAACCGATGTAGATGAGATGCTCACAAAAGGGATCAAACGTGATCTGTGGCATATGAAGAGTATTCGGCAACTGGTAATGGAAAAAGTCAGCTCGCGTATTATTCCGCGCTCGGTGATAGGCGACAGTCGTAGCTCGCGGAATATTCCGCGCTCGGTGATAGACGACAGTCGTGGCAGTTAAAAGGATTTTCACAACAAAAGTAAAACTTGTTAAAAATATAATGAACCGATGTAGACGAGATGCTCACAAAAGGGATCAAACGTGATCTGTGGCATATGAAGAGTATTCGGCAACTGGTAATGGAAAAAGTCAGCTCGCGGATTATTCCGCGCTCGGTGATAGACGACAGTCGTGTCTCGTGGAATATTCCGCGCTTGGATGCAAATGGGTTAAGGAATTAAAAATAGATTTTCTTGTTACGTTACCAGGGTAACGAAGTCTGGCGTATTCTCCAATTAAAAAAGTGCATATATGCATCGTATAAAGTGTTTCTCGATCGCCCAAAAAGTGCGGACCCTGGAAACGCGAGCAAAGTGTTGTACGAAATGTGTGAATATAACAGAATAAATTGGAGATGTCGAATTATGCAGCGAAATAATTACCATGAATCTTGCTATATATTTTTGATATTGTTAGTATTACCATGACAAGTACAGATAGAAGATAGTACGATTGTTCCGTCCCGGACAGCGTGTTTATAACATGATTTTTATTCTAAGGCTCACACCTTTAACAGACCTAACGGTTTATTTTATATTTTATACCGCGACTGCAATTCCGGAGGATAGATGTGCCTCACCGCCGTTCTAGGGGATTAAGTTTATAAAGGTAAAGCAAAGTTTAGGAATTTTACAAGTACCAGACTCGATAGATGGGACCCACGTGTGACAGACCCAACAAGCGACGGACGGACACCACTTATAAATCACGTCATTGACTATCAAAAATCGGCTCCTTGACAGTTTCCTACTCCTTAGCCAAAGGTCCTTCCGTCACACCCTCTGTCCAATTAAAACTCCTTACTTTTCCACCACCAACGTTTATTTCGCCCAATCAGAACTAAACTGGAGAAAACACCGGACAGGACACGACGAGACACGACACAGATCAAATTCGAGAAATCGGTTCGTCTTCGACACCGATCCTTGAAACATCTTACTTACGCATATAAACGCGTGTTCGAAACGGTACTCCGTTCAACGTCTCCATTATAACTATTCTATATTTTTCTATAAATAAACGCTCTCTTTTATCAACACACTTCGGGATCCTTAATATTACAACTAGTCACGCAATATTAATTTGGCGCGTGATAAGCGTTCTAGGACTTCGAAGGGATTCGATAAATAGAACGCTACAACGATTATAACATCGTACCTTATACATCATCATATTCGCTTCACAGGATATGCGAAATAAGGTAGTTTTTACTCGTAATACTAATTACAGTACGTTGAACGTGATATGATTATTAAATTTTGATTTACTTTCTTTAGATATATCCTTTCATCACATTCGGAATTGCAATAAAAAGAAGCAATCGTTGATTCGATTACTATTTCAGAAATATCTCTAAATACCAGAATTTGCAAACTCTGAAATAGTGTAGGATATTTATGTCCATCCGCTAATCGTTATCAATGGTGAATGACATGTTACAAACCCGAGACGTGATGCATGCAGTCAATGGATACAGGATCAGGTTAGTGTTGACCTTGACACATTCACTTAAGAATCTTACTAGTTTCTACTTGCAAGTCATTTTTTTAAATTCAAGGTTACCTAACAGCCACGTTTCACTTTCAGGTATGACTAAATTAATTAAATATATAATTGTGTTAAATTAATTTTCAAAGATCGGGGTTAGAAGCAATATTTATTATAAATTGTAAAAAGCCTGTGGCGTCAGTTTCCTGGTTATAAAAACGAAATATTCTTGTAATTAATGCTAAACAAAAAATAAACAACCTGTTTAGCAATAAGACGTCAATATCCTGAACGAAACTGATTAGGTATAAGATTGCTAAAGCGTGCTGTAATGATTGAAATGAAGTGGAAGAAGATTAATATATGTGGAGATTAAAGATGATTGTCGAACATGCGAGAAAAAGTAATTAGAATAAACAATGTAAGTGTATTATATTAAATTTGGAATTTGTTAAATCCATTTTCTTGTAATAAATAAATTTTTATATTTTGTAATAATTAGAAAATTAATTTCATGATACTGTATCATTGTATACTTAAATTTTATAGAATATGTCTGTTACAACATTAGGTATAAAATTAAAAATTTGTCACAGCTTTTCGTAAAATATAATTACAAATTGGAGAATAAAATTTATTTCATTGTATATTCGAATTTAAAATATATTTAAATAATATTATTCAAATTATATTAAAAAGATTATTTTTCTTAAAATAATATATTTTAAAATCACAGGTTAAAATTTATTTTAACATATCGTATTATACATACTTGTTTCACTGCATACTTTTCGTATTTGCAAAATCTTTCTTTTTAAAATAATATATTTTGAAATCATAAAATCAAATTTATTTCATTGTATTATATACGTTTACTTCATTGTATACTTCTTCCAAATTCACAATAGACTCTAAATATATAATCGAGTCCAAATAATTTGGTCTAATTACATAACAAAAGGTAATAATTTCTGGAACTAATTTCTAGAATATCACTTGAAGTTCAATTTTACAGATACAAACATTTTTCACTATTGATAGATTCAAAGTAAAATAACAATTAGTAAATAAGAAATTATCTAAAGTTCAAATTCGAACCTACTAATATAGTTTAAACTAATATCGTTAAATTCTACAAAAAAGTTTCTATGTAAATATTTAACCATTATAAATATAAATTCTCTATATACAGTATTCTCTAATATATTAATATATTATATTATTTATTATAATATGTAAAATAATATTTTTAGTTTTTGTTTTGCGATTTTCTTAGAAGAATATTTTTAAATCTTCCAAATATTCTTTGAATAAAATATTACAGCTATACTATTATAAAATGTGGTAATGGTTACATAGATTTTTAAATACATATGTATTGGAATGAGTGGAAGAAGTATGCATGGGATGGAAATATCTAATGGATTCAGGTTATTATGATAAATAAGTATGCGTGTAATGATTGAGGTGTGTGAATTGTGTATGTTAATGTAATGTATGAAAGAAGAAAGAAAAAAGAATATGATTTGGAATATGTCAGTTGCAATTGAGTATTAATAGAGAGAAGACGTGTGAGCATGTGATAGTGACAAAAATAATTATATTCCAACCCAATATTTGTGTTTGATAATCTTTGTAATTAAATAAATAATTGTCCTTATTGTTATTAAATTTCATCCACCACTAACATAAGATTCTCTCGTCATATCGACATATCTATATAATTTGTATAATCCATAATAATCTCCTTAACACGACGAACACAAACTGAAATCGAATTTTAAATCAAGTTTTCCGTCTACCGTCATCGGATCGAAATTGTAATCTGCAATGCGAATGTGACGCGATTTTTGAGGTTAGGAATTAATATATTACGTGTAACGCATACACGTATATATTGTATTATATACGAGTAAACACGAGTAGTATGCATCAAGAATAATACGTGTACGAATTGTAAAAGAAACACGCACAAATCTGCAACGCCTGAGGTGTTGGAAGATGACAGCGTATTACCAATGTCACGACTTCGCAGAACTTCATTCGTTTCTTTTCGTTACTTCTTCCTGACCACAACATCCTTCCATTTCCAAGATTTCATTTAGAATTACTCGACTTGCATAGACAGATGACAGACCAACCTACAGGAAACTGGACAAGTTACATAGATTTCCTGCGTTTCATTCTCACCCCTACCATCGTTCTGCTACCATGTTTGTGGCTCTCTTCGCTATACTTTTCCTCCTCTATTTCTTCTTCTTCTTCTCCTCAACCCTGTTTCTCGGGTTCTTCTTCTCAACCCTGCAGCTACGTTATACTTTGCTTGCACGCATCGCGTTATTCATTTGCTAATTGTTCGTCATTATTGCTACAACTCTATTTCCTCTTTTCGTGTTACCTGCAATACGATTTGCTACTAGCAAACTGTAATTATCGTTTGATAAAAAATCCCATACAATTAGCATTTTAAACGCTTTCCCTTCTATCCGTATCTCGGAACCGAAGCCATTTTCCTATCGACCTGCACGTTTTATTTCCTATTACATTCCACGGAAATATGTCTGTATTTCTTTCCAGCTGCTCTTCGCTGCCCGCTTTGTCTCGCTCGTGTTCCCTTTCCAGCTTCTTCTGGTATCGGCATACTCCAGTGAACCCGCATTAAGAATCTGCTCGAAACCCTCATTCTCATAAACCTCTTCATCTCTCTCTTTCATTCCCCACATCCTTTGTCCTTTATATTTTCTTCGTATTTTCCTTCTATCGCTCCCTTTTATTAACTTCCATGGCGTATTCTACCTTCTAGCCTATCTCTACCTTTACAACGAATCCCTCCCATTCCTCTCCATTGCCTGTTTTTAATATTTTGGTTCTTACGCGGTGATATTTTTCTGCTTATTCATGCCTCCGT